AAAGCCCAAAGAATAAACATTGTCCATGAGGATATCTAACCTAGTGATTACATATTTTAAAACTTAGGTCCAAAGGGAATATCAAATAATGGAGTAGTTTGAAAAAATATGCATTAAAATCAAATTTTAATAAAATAATGATCCATATGAATGATATGCATATTTTCTACAACAAAAAAGGTTGAGTTCTTACAAAACTCTTGCTAAAATTTTTTGGCTCAATAAGAGCTAGATGTCTACAAGTTGTAGAAACATGATTGACAAATTTCACTTATGTAAATACTAAAACGAGACCAAAAGAAATATTAGCCTTATTGTCTTCAAATACATAAGAATTCATGATATGGCACAAAGGCCAAAATGTGCAAAGCTTAAGAGCTCAAGGTTGACACATGTGCATCATTCAATACTTGTATCATTTGAAGAAGTCATAGTTCAAGGTTGTATAACCAGTACTGCATCCAAAAAAAGTTTTGTACAATTACTAAATGAAAGTTCAAAGCAATGCAACTTTCGGGATACATAATAATAGTTGTCAGCAATGAGTTTTATGAATAAGAAACTTTGCGAATGTTAACAAATATTTTAATTCTTTATATACATCTAATAGCTACATAAGAAAAAGTTGTGTGTGTGTGTGTATGTTTATTTTTATTTTTTATAATTTCAAACACTTTTAAAATAAATAACTTTGGGAAGAAAAAAAAAAGATGTTGAGTACAAGAACTCGATCTATATTTTTACTGCACAATTTAGTTAAATGGTTTCTTTCTTACTGTGTTGAAACATTCTTTGCCTTGTTGGATTTAATATATTATTGATGAGATAGATTTATCTTTTATTATTATTATTTTTCACCTATTATTATAAAACCAATTAAATTTTCATATTCAAAAGTTTAAAATAAATAGACTAACTGAATATTTGTATTTTTAATAAAAGGAATGATTTTCTTACACTAGTGTAAGTCTAAAAACTCTTACACTTGATTTGAGTCTTTCATTTAACTTACATCTAAGGATCAGTGAAGTAATAAATTATAACCCATTAGATGTAGGTTAAATGAAAGGCTTAGATCAAATGTAAGAGTTTTTAGATTTATACTAATGTGAGAAGATCCTACCCCTTTTTAATAATAGCTAAATTTAATTATAATTTCAACAATGATATTATCTACTTGCTTGGTTAACCATGATTTACGATAGAATACGGGTTCGATATTATAAATCAATTAATGTAAAAAAATCAAATATCTTATTTTAGCTATTAATATAAAGTTTTCCCAAATCAAATATCTTATTTAACGATTCTCTTTGCTCGAGATTTCAATTTTCTTTTCTTTTCCTCCTTTTTCTTACTATAAACACTTATACAAAGCTCCTTTCAAAATTTTCTTAATATACATATTTTTTAGTGGAGATTTTCTCATTTCTTCTTCCTAATTTTTGTTTGATACCTATTAGATTTCCACTTCAGCTTGAAACTTGCACTGCTTATCACCTTTTCTAGTCTTCAGCTGCTACACCACAGCCTCTCTGCCGTTGGGAAGAGTTCCTTTGTACACATAACCAAACCCAACCTATACGGCTATTCATGGCTCATTTCAATCGAAAAAAACAAACCAAACTCCAATGAACTAAAAAATATCTTGGCTTAACTGAATCGAACTGGTTATGCTTTAACACCAAACTAGTTCTTTTATTTAGTGCAGCCATTTTAAAATTTCAAATTGAACCTATTTCTTTTAAATATTCAAACTAGTTTTATTTGGAACCAAATCAGTTTTAAATGCAGGAACTAAACCGATTCTGAACTAGTTTCAAAACTTGGTTTTCAATCACTTCAAAAATTGATTCTTTAAGGGTTCAAACTAGTTCTTTAATCTAGTATTGACACAAATTTAAAACTAACTCAATAACTAATTCTTTGGTTCTAAATTGATTTAAAATCAGTCTCCAAACTAGTTATGTGGTTAAAATTGGTTTCAAAATTGGTTTTAAACCAATTACTTGAGAAAAAGCAAGCAACCAAACTAAAACTAGTTTCCAAATACTAAACTGATTAAACATGCTTTAACACAACAATACAATGCATATATTAAGATATATTTTCATAAGTAATTAAAACATGTTATCTTCGTTGTTGTAATATGATAAAACAACATCTTGTAACAAACCAACAATATTTAATTGCAAGAAGCAACAACCTTTTGTTGCTTCTTAATTTAGTATAACAGCTAATCAATCAAATACAACTTATCACAATTCAAACAATTCACAATAAAATTAAAATTAAAAACTATAAAAGTCTTACATTTGTAGAGGATGACTATTATTCATCATGAAATCTAGCCAAATCTATGACAATGTATCAAAATTTGCACATGAGCTTGGCATGATTTAACAAGGTAACACTCAAAATAAAATCACAAACAAGGTATAGTCAAGTAAGCGTTATGCCAGGTATCCAATACATTTACAGCATCAACCAAATAAAACTAAGAACTGTCATTAGAACCAGCCTTTTTCTCCCTTTGTTTCTCTCTCTTTTCCTTATTTCATAATAAATTCTTGCTCATTGATCTAAGTAAACAACAATTACCATGTAATAACATATAGATTATAATAAACACAAAAACAAAATAAGAGGTCCGAGGGAAAAGATACTTATTCTACATGACTCATTAGGGTTTCAGAGAAGGAACTTCTTAAGGCAATGGTGGATAACCCGTTAGTGATCTTCTCCCCCGCCGCACGAGTTAGGGTTGCAATTCCACCACTTCAACTCAGGATCTTGGTCAGAGGAACCAGTGATCATCGCGACAAATCTCGAGACTCCTTGCTATTAGCAATTCATCCCACATGCTTCTCCTTGTCTTCCTCCTTCTTTGTAAATCAACGTCTTAAACCCTAACGGCTGATGGCCTTAAAGGAAGAAGAGTGGTCGTTGAACAAGCTAAAGAGCGACAAAGTTTTTGAGTAGAAGAAAAGCGTGATCAACTTGAAGAGCATCACACAGAATAGTAACAAAACAAGAGTTTCGTTGTTCAAGCTGCACATTTTCTCTATACTATGCACTCTAATGATATTGCAACATAACATCGCTCAAGTCAATACGATTGCATCGCAATACTTTACATATATTAAAATTTTTAAATTTTTAACATATAATAGAACTACTTAACAAATATTATAAATAATATAATTTTAAATAAACTATATTTAATAATATATAATTTTTATAATTGGTCACATATTTTTTTATTAGAATAGTTTTTTTTATACTAATAAAAAAAAAATTGGGGGACATAGCATCCACCAAATTTCATTCGCAGCGGCCATAACATGGGTTTGAAAAGTTAGTCTTAAATGCAGCCGGAAATTGTGTAGTGATTCTCCTCAATTACTTGCAGTTGCAAGATAATTATTTGAACAATAATTAAACAGTAAAACGGTACTTGAATTCATTCTATTCACGTGACAGCAGTATCGTTCTTCCTTTACATACGTATAAATTGATATCTTTTAACATGTTTTTTATAATACACTTTTATTATTAATAAAAATTTATTATAAAATATAAATATTACGTTAGTTTTATTTTTAAATTAATTTTTTTAACATTATGTAAGTCTTATTTTTTCTTAAATTAATATATTTTAAAAAAAATTAGCTTTTAATAAATTTTATTTAGTAATAAAAAATATATTTAAAAAAACGTTAAAAAATAAGTGATCGGTACATTAACATATGTTTGGTTGTTAGATAAATAGTGCTGGCTTACGCCGCGACACTTGTTCCATCATTATTTGTATGCTGTGATATGTGAATATAATAGTAAGTTAATTTGCTCCATGGGAAAATATATACTTTTAAGTATATATAATGTCATACGAGAAAACACACCCTATGGATTCCAATGAAAAAGGGAGAAGGAATTTTTTTTTTTTATCTGAATACATCTGAGAATCGGGCTGAGCATACACTTTTGTTTTTTGTTATTTTTTGGGCTTTGTTGTAAACTTTTAAGTGTGCGGGGCCTTCGGGCAGCGAAGCTGGGGAGCGAACGCTTAGCGTTGAATTCAATCCTCTCATGATACATATTAGGTAAACCCACTAAATTGTATGGGTATTTTAAATTTAAACATATTAAATAATCGTGAATATTTTTCTTGATAATAATAATTTTATTATATTAAATAAGAATAAATTAAATAGATAAGACTCTTAAAATGGAAGAAAACCTTATGGAAACAAATTGATAAAATTAAGACAAAATTTTGTCAATATGGTATGTTAAAATTGGAATATCAAATTAAGATTACAACAAGTTTAAAATTTATTTTTTCTAAAAAAACATCTTTAATTTGGTGCACTGTATCAAGATATCAATTTAAATTATAAATATTTAGAAGGAACAAAAAATAAATAACGAGGATGAGTTTAACTCCTAAAATGTCCTCACTCAAGAATATACAAAAAAATTTTAATGTATAAATCATTTTACAAAAACATTATACAACTTGTATATATAATTTTAAGAAGCTACTGTGAAATTGCAAAATAATATTGTCGACTTGTCATCTTGATATGCCTACGGTGTTGCGATCAGTTTCTTGCATTTCATTCAATCCGGGGTAAGCGATGCCGAACTCTATCCCGTGATCTCAGTGTTTGATAATTTGACAAAAATAAATAAAATACCCTATCCAATTATACAAACGATACATATATATTAACTACTAGTAGAAAACAATCCTATATCCTCGAGGGAGCGAAGTGGCAGCATCATCATCTGGGTTTCATCTGTGACGCCTTGATGATGCCAAATCCGTATCACTTCTTCCAACACAAACAAGTGAGAACAACCCACTCTTAGTTCTGAGCATTGAAACGAGGGGTATTAATATATATTATGCTCCCTTCATCAATTTTTGCTGAGCTTGCCAAGAAGGTCCCTTCTTTGTCCCACCTTTGTTGTATTATGCTCAATTGGAGAACTCAATATAACTTGGTAAACCATGAATTTGGCGAACATTCTCCCAATCTTGGCAGAAAAGCCTCCCTTTCTAGAGATAACTGAAGTCCTGCCACTATCCTCACAATAGATAGCCACAAAAATGGTGCAAAACCAAAGGCGTAACCAAAGACGGACAAGGCTCTTACTACCCCATCTGGATACCAAGGAAATGCCATCACCATCAGGGTTCCTACAATTCCAAGCCACGGTACCAAAACGGGTAAAATTGGTAGCAGAAAGACATTAATTGAAATTGAGCAAAGTGCAAAAGCACCAAGCAAATATAGGATCCAGCCCAGCACAGGGTGAACCGTGTGAGGGATGATAAAGAAGGGTGTTGCGTAAGCAGCAAGAATGCAACACAAAGCAACTAATTTCAGGCTATTGTGCGCTAGGTTGATACTCTTATCAGAGCGCCTATAACAAAGCTTCGAGAGGCTTGGCCTTGCCAAACGCGTCATTGCTATTATTCCCAGATATATTGCAGACTGGATAAGTATCACAGCCATTTCAGCACCATACCTGCACCAATGATATTATTTAATAGGTCAAATTTCACAGTAGACCCGCTTCATGATCTTGTGTCAGAAACTCAACACAATTAGAGGACACCAAAGCTGATTGAAATAATTCTTGTCACACTTGGGGGACACTTTTAGATATCACTTTTATTTTTGAGATGTATTTTTCAAATACATGTATACAAAAAAGATAAAAACTAAGAGATATATCTCCTTGGGGCTTACCCCAAAGTTTGACGACGTTGTTCATGCCAATGGAGACCTAATGGAAGAACGGGCCACGACCACCAATACCATGGCTTCAACCATGGTGCCCCCGGGAATGTGATCACACTGTTTGGTCCACAGGGTATGTTCCACCGAAGTTTAAGATCTGAAACCAAGAAAAATAGCACAAATTAAGATTTCACTGAGAAGTTCAAAAGTGCATCTGAAAATACATAATCAAAGAACGTTCCTATTGTAATTAATTTACTTACAATAGTAAGAAGCATCCATTTGATAACCTAAAGGAAGCCTATATGCTCCTTCAAGCTTGGTGCCATTTGGAGGGGAATGAAACATGGGCTTGTCAAGCAACTCGGGGAAGTAGCTAGCTATAAAACCCTGGTCTGCACCATCTGGATTTTCTCTTCCATTCTGTAATTCATGAACCATGTCTTTAAACACCACCATTGATGGCTGCAAATATCAAGTAATAATTAATTACGCACATGAGAGAGTCAAATTTAATCTAAAAACGAAACTATATATGTTGTTACCGGAATTTTACCTGCAAGACGAAGAGGCCAGTATGGAAGATGCAAGGATTGATAAAGACAGCACAGAATTGTCCACATTGAAACAACTCGTCCGTGTTTTGGAGGAAGAGATTATCAGCATCCAACATGACTACCCTTTCGTAGTCCACTAAGCTCCATGCATACAATTTGTTCAACGATAACTTAAATCTCTTGTCAAAATTATCTTGATGCTTGTACGGATTGTCCATGTTTTCGACCCTTACCACTTTCGCCCCATCTTCCTCTTCACTGATACATCCCACATAATCATTAGTGATTATTAATTGCATATGTTGCAAGTGAACCAACCAAACAAAAATAAAGGTTGTAGCTCATGAAAGTGTGTTCTCGTAATTAAACTGGGGCGGAACTAGAGTATTTTCTAGGTCAAAGTTACGTCTACGTAGGTAAGTTTTGAAATTAAAAAAAGAAAAAACTATGGTACTTTTGGAATGTCATAAAAGTAACACGTAATTCCGCAGTTGATTTCGTAATAATTGCTTTGACTAGTTTGTGAAAACAACTTCGCAAGTGGAAGACTGGAAGAACAGTGATCAGGCCCCGATTCCACAAAGGATGCCAAAATTCAGAGACGACAACGTATGCTGCTATACATTTGGCAAATGGCTGATGGGCATATTTATTTATTCATTTGACCAGTAAGAAATTAAGAATAAACAATTTGAAATCGTATTTTAACATTTTATTGCTAATATTCTTGTTAAATGTAAAAAATATTATATACCTTTTATATATTAAATGCTGTTATTTTTTTAATACCTTTTTTTAATAAACCATTAAGAAAATGAATAAGAGAATATTGTGACTTAAGCATATAGCATTATTAAAAAATAAAGTTTCACAATGCAAATCTTCTGGATCACTTCACTAATTTTTAATTATTAAATAAAAATATTACACGCCTTTTATTTTTGCAAGGTCAAGAAGATACATAAAATGTATCTAATATTATTAAATTTTCTCTTCTATTAAATATTTTTAAAAGATGCTAACAAGTGCCTGTTATTAAAAAATCAAAACTATGAAATTCCTTTATACCTCTTAGCATGCTTTTAGAAAATTATTATAAAAGCCTTAGAAAGAGATATGACAAATTCGAAAATTTAACAAAGCAAAATGTGACAAACTAGTTCTAAAATTATGAACCGTCCGAAACCCCACCAGCCTTCATGGTCCCTGTCGTAACGAAACTTAAGTTGAGTGTTAGGTCGTGTAATAGTAGGCAATTCAGGTGGCACATAAAATAATACTACCTAGTAACTGTTTGGTGGCACCAAAAGGAAAAAACGGATAGAAGCGATACACACATTTCTCAATTCGTTGAAAGTTGAAACCGTCGCCTACAACTGTTGTACTTAACGTGCAAACGTAAATTAATTAAAGCTAATAAATTAAGAATTATTCACACTAGTGCTAATTAAGTAAGAAATAACTGGATTTCGACCAGGCCAGGCTTTCCAGAGAACGGGTTTCAATTCAACCTTCCTCTGAGAAATGGACATTTATAATAATAATTATTATTATATTCCTTTATTCTAAGGCATATTCCAAAAAAATCCCCAAATGTGTGACCAGACAACGGAGCACTCTAGCCACGACGGAAATATAGGAGTAACTAACGAATAATGTAATATAACCGAAGCAACATAATAGTAATCTACGCCGTAAACCAAGGAGAAAATTGGAAATACATATACATATATATATATATATATAAAGAATTAAAAAAAGGACAAAGAAAGTGAGGGAAGAAAAAGGACTCACAGAGCACGAATCCATCGGAGAGGGACATCGACGGAAGCAATGACGACGAGATCGGCTTCGACGTTAAGTTTGGAAAGGGATTTAAGGAGGACGCGTACAGCGATGTAGAACTCGTAGTCTCTTGGCGTCCCAACATACATCATCGTCGCGTACGCGTTCTTGTACCTCGGTTTAGACGACGATGTCGTTTTGATGGAGGTTGCTGTGGAGAAATGCCATAGGCCCAGTAGCAAGAGCAGGAAGCGTCTCAGAAAAGCTGCATTGCGACCCATTTTCCGAAAAGGAAAGAATTTGGAGTCTTTACTTACTCAAAAGTTGTAGCTATGGTTGAGTTGAGTATGAAGCCAATACTTTATAAGAGAGAGAGAGGACTTATTCCTCAAACATCGGGAGAACAAGCAGAGGGAAAAGTAACAGCTTTTAAATGGTAGCTAGGCAGGAGGTACACGGTACCTTGGAACGAATCAACTCACGACTTCAGCTTTAACACCCTGGCTAAAACAACAATATATTAAAATTTTGGTATCAACGTGTAATATTATAGTTTTCCTTGTGATCCTTGAAAAAAAATTTCAGACACTGTTAAATAATAAAAAAAAAAGCTGTTAAATCACTCTTTGTCGTCCATGACTGTGAGGATTGTACTGATTTGGTGTATGTTTGAGAAAATTTTATTCTAAGAAATTAAAAACAAAAGTTGATCGAAACACCTAGTTAGTAGTTATTTGTTAAAGTCACACATGTTTTAGGGATGTTTTTTTTTTTTCTATAACCTTGTTAATTTTTTAATTTAGTTTCTAGTAAAACTGCTTTTGGATTTGTTGTGAACTCACACTTTACCATCTACATTCTATTAATGGTATTGAAAAAATAACATTGAGATAGAAAGTAGTACGGCAAGCCCTGTTCATATTTTTTTACACTTGCCGTTCCCTCACAAAGAAATATCCGCGAAAACACCTAGCAAAGGCCCGTCACTCCCCTTTAATAGTAATAAAAATAAATTAAAATTTTGGTATCAATATGCAGTATTCTATTTCTCCTTGTAATTATTGCCAAAAAATGAAATAAAATCACACATTGTGTAAAAAAAAAAAAAAAAAAGCTGTAAGTTTACTCTTTGTCTTCCATGACTGTGACGACGACATTGATTTGGTGTATGTTTGGGAATTTTTTAAAATGTTAAAAAAAAACTTTAAAATTCTTTTGTTACAAGTTTTAATGATGTTATTTTTTGAATATTTTTATAACATTGTTATTTTTTTAATTTAGTCTCTATGTAAAAATGTTTTTGAATTAGTTGTGAATTGACGAATTCGCTCTTTATCATTTACATTTAATTAACGTTACTTGCAAAATACCTAAATTATATGAAAATAGGGGAATAAAATATTGAGATATAAAGGCGTACGGAAAGAACAGTCCATATAATTGTTTTTGACATGGGCCGTTCTCCATGTCGCCGCAAAGAAAACGCAATCCATGAAAACACATATCAATGGCCCAGTCATTCCCCTTTAAATAGCATGTGCGCTTTTTAAGAGCCATCAAAGTTGCGAAACATCAAAATATAGTTCAGAAACAAGGATTTACATAAATTAGATGTAATACACAATCAACCTAAACAATAATATTAAGTATTATATGGATTTTCTATTTACATATATTTGTACAGCGCATGAATACTATATATACTTGACATGTGATAGGAGCAACTAATCTATTATTGTTTCTTCACTTGCCGATATAGGCTATACCAATCATAGACCAAGTTAATTTTATATCTTGGTGAATGCTAGTACGTCATTGACTTTGTTTTCAGTCTCTTAATTTTATTTTCACTCTCTTGCTTCATTATATGAAATTGCCTTTCCAGTTCCTTTTATTTAGCCTAAGGAAGAATTGTTAATAGAACTGAACCTATTGATCTACTTCACCTCGCACAGCACATAGAAAGTCTCGTGTGGATGATATTGGACTTGGATTGGATTTAATGAATGGAAAACCCATTCACAGTGATTCAACAAGTGCGATCTTTTTCATTCATTAAATGGATGCAGATTAATTTACTTAAAATTACTCGTAAAAAGAGCAATATATATTAACAATTAACATGGTATTTAAAATATACTTTTCAATGTGCACTTTATTATCAAACGATCAAAAGACTGAAGTTTATTTTTTATTTTTTATTCTTTATTTTTTATTTTTAGAAAAATTACTTATTACTAAAATATTTGTAAAAAAGGTCTGTTTTTGTTATTTTATAAAATATATAATTTAGTTTTACGTAAATTATCATGAAATCAGATCACCATTTTTTCTCCTTCCCTGTGAATTTTTCCTATTAAAATGTGATATAGGGAAAAAAAATCTATCCTTTAAGATGGAATTTTCTTTTGGACAACAAATACTTTTTATTAGAATATGTGATTAATTTGAACTCAAAATTATAGATTAAATTAAAATAATTTCTTACCGATTGATCAACGAGATTGAAGGTAAAAAATATTGCTTTTCAACCGCATGTTAAAATATAATTGAAAAAACAGGTAAAAAAAATAAAAACAAGTTGATTTCACAATTCTACAGCATCGTCATTTTATCATGTGATCATAATTTTGTATATAAAAAGTGCATGTGACTTGTCCAAAATACCATACCAGCTTAGAAATCCTCATCCTCTGCCGCGATCTTGTATCTGCAGCAGAGAAATTCACCGTTAGCTTTACATTGAATGATTATAGAAGGCCATACTACTTTTATAATCGGTCAATTTATCATCTCACAATGATTAATATTTGACATTACTGACCAACAAATTACAGAGAGAAGCTGGAGAGAGTGGCTGGTCCAGTGACGGCATCGCCAAATTGATCACACATGAAGTCATCTCCTAACTCTACGGCTTTTGTTTTCACAATCCTCATTCATCAAAGCTAGTAAGTACACCTCAAAAAGAAAAGAAAAGCAAATTGTAGGAATTAATGAAACTAACAGAACCATTCATTACATATTCTTGCACAGTGAGTAAAGCAACTTCTGGTCATTAATACGTTACTAAAATGAAATTATCCAAACCCAATAACAAAGAAAGAAGAAACAAGCAACGATCATTTAAAGGGTGAGCGTTGAAAGAGTAGCGAGGGTGTCTTGACTTAGTTCTTGGTCCTGCCAAGTTGGTGGTGTAGTACCGGCGGTGGTAACTGTTTGGAATATTAATCGGAGGGCTCTCTCCAATCTGGTACCGTTAGCAAATGGTATTTCCCTGTTGAAGACAATTTGACCAAATCGGAAGAAAAACAACGTTGTTGCATGAACTGCTTCTTGTCGGAACACCCTGAGACCCAGTGAGAGCTTCAGCGCAAGAGGGCAAACGATCCATGCCGCCACTATTGCAGGGCTCAAACTGTGTCTGGCAAGTTGCAAGTGGAACTTGGCCACACCCATCATGTGCAACCCCATTGATTATTTTGTAGTAGTATGCAAGAAGATGAGGTTGACATTCATTAACATATAGCGCTTTGTAGTGCTCGGAATGAAAGCTTTGCTAACACTTGGTGAGTGTCCATCGTGGGGCAACATACTCTCTGTCTCTCTCTAGTATCTTCCACACACTTGGTACTGTGTTCGAGCGTGTTTTATTACGTTTTTTTTCGTAACAAAAATGAATTTCGCAGGTAATTTTTAATCATGAACTTCTATAAAATCTTACTGAAGTTGGAAAGAGCGATGCCTCCGCTTAAACTTCAAATATTATAACGTCATAGTCAATCCTCTGTTTTAAATGATATGAGAAAACACGAAGGACGGAGAATAGTTTCAAAACCCAAAATGAAATGGAAAATCGAAGTGAAAATTTTGATTTTAACGGACTTTATAATTTATTTTTACAAAATGGATATCTAATATATGGTATGGAAAAAGTGAAGTGAATACGTTACGTTTATCATGCATGTGATCCAAACAAATGAGTGTAAAGGTTAAGGTGTGATATTTTGTCATGTCAATCGTGAAGGAAAATATTTGTCCTAGTGGGACCACAGGAATTTCCTCGAACTTTCATGTAGGAGAGACGAAATTCTGTTGAGGGGAAACATCGTGCTAAGGAGAGAGAGTGATCATATGTCGGTTTTGGGTGGTTCGGATCTAAAAGTAGTTAATTATATTTAACTGAATTATTTAAAAAAATATCTAATTTTTTATCGGTTAATTTGAATTCGGATAACTCACTAAATCGGTTAGTTAAGTATTATGTCGAGCTTTAAAAAATTTTAATAAAAATTATTGTTAAAATACTTTTTTTTCCTTACGTTCTATATTGTTAAAAAGAATTTATTTATTTAATTTTGTTTATATACACCTGATTTTTATATTTATAATATATTGTAATAAATATAATATGATGTCATTACAATGTGATAATGATTTGTTAGAAAATTTGTTTGACCTTTATAAAATATGTATTATTAATATGTTAGTAAAATATAAATTATTATTATTATTATTATTATTATTATTATTATTATTGAATAAAATTTTTTTACTAATATTTAACTTACTAATTAAGATAATAAACTAAAAATTAGTGAAATATTAATTTTCCTATAAGGTGACCATAAATTACTTTTTTTTAATATACTTATTTATGTTAATATCGGGATATTATTTTTAATCCCATATTTTTCTATAAGTTGAATATTATTATTATTATTATTATTATTATTATTTTCTTGTTTGATATTTTAGAGAAAAAGAAAAAAAAGTATTTAAATAATAAAAGAGGAGAAAAAATATAAAAAAAATAATACAAAACTCCACAAATTAAAAAAACTTAAAAACATAAACTTAAGATTTTCATATAAAAACTTTTAAACAAATATAATAGTTATATAAATCTCATTTTTCTCTCAAAAAATTAGCTCCTAAATAAAATTTAAAAGTTTTACAACAGCTCGTACTTTTCACACCTCTCAATTTTTTATGCTTATTTTATTATTACAAAATAAAATTAAAATCATTTATAAGTTGTTTCTGTTTTTTAAAAACATATTTTTAAAAGGTTTAATTTTAAAATCATTTATATAATTTCAAAAAGTGTTTTTTAGAAAATTTTATAAAATTTAAATTAAAAAAATAAACATAAAAAGAAATCTCCACAACGTATCTACACACTGTATCCTTATGTTTATTTAGAGTAATTTTTACAGTGTCCTAAAATTTACGAAAATATTCGTACTTTTAGAGGTAAAATAATAATTACTATTAATAT